GGTACCATCACTACCTCATACCTTGATACTAGGTACCGATTTCTGGAAAGTGATGCAGATCGTACCCGATCTTTTTTCTGGAGAATGGTCATTCCGTGAATCAAAGTGCTCTGAAGTACAAGTAATGGGCATCAATGAAATGGGTTCCCTCAATATTGATCAACGACAACAATTAGATAAATTGTTGGCGGAGAGTTTTGCCGCCATGGGCACGAGATTAGGTTGTACCTCTTTGGTGGAACATCACATCTAGACTGCATCTTCTCCTTTCAAGCAAAGACATTACCCTGTTAGCCCCGCCGTTCTCAAGCACGTGTATGCTGAATTGGAAAAATGCTCGAAGATGGAATAGTTGAGCCCTCGAAGTCCCCATGGTCCTCACCAATTCTCCTCATTAAGAAGAGCGATGGTTCTTACCGCTTTGTTGTTGACTTTCGTCAACTAAATAAGGTTACCGATAAGGATTCCTACCCGATATCCTTCATTACCCCAACTCTAGATCAGCTAAAAGGTGCCATATACTTGACAACTCTGGACATCAAGTCAGCGTACTTCCAAATACCCCTGCCCGAATCATCAAAACCATTGACCGCTTTCGTGATTCCAGGTCGTGGTCTGTTTCAGTTCCGGCGTATGCCTATGGGACTCCATAATGCCCCAGCCACGTGGCAGAGATTTATCAATAGAGTTATCGGTGTGGATTTGGAGCAAAATGTGCTTGTGTACTTAGATGATATAGTTATTTGCACCAACACCTTCCAGAGGCACCTCGAAGTATTGCGTGAAGTCCTAGATCGTTCGACCAAAGCTGGCCTAACTCTAAACAAGGATAAATGCCACTTTTGCAGGCCGGAATTACATTATCTGGGATATGTGTTTGGAGCCTCTGGCCTGATGGTTGACCCACAGAACGTGGAAGCATTGTTGCAGATTCCTACTCCATGTACCGCCAGAGATGTGCGACGATTTCTTGGTCTTGCGTCGTGGTACCGTAGGTTCGTCCCAGAGTTCTCCACCATTGTGGCTCCACTCTGTGAACTTTTGCAGAAAAATAGGAAGTTCTTGTGGACCGAGCAATGTGATCGTTCCTTTCGAACTCTGAAGGATCACCTGATTACCTCACCCGTACTTACCTGCCCCGATTTTGAGAAACCATTTACTATTCAAGCAGACGCTAGCGATGTTGAGTTAGGAGCAGTACTCACCCAACCGTCTGAAGAAGGCGAGAAGGTAATATGTTATCTTTCCCGTTCCCTGACAAAGCCATCGAGAAACTAAGACCTTACATAGAAGGGACATGCTTCAAGGTTATCACGGACCATTATAGTCTGAAATGGCTTCAGTCTATAAAAGATCCGGTTGGGCGTATAGCACGATGGGCAGTACACTTAAAACAGTACGACTTTGAAGTTGTACATCGGAAAGGTAAAGATCATGCCGTCCCGGATTCTTTATCTCGTTGTGTCCCGGTGCTAGATTTGGTAAGCACTGCTAATCTGCAGCCTGAGCAAAAGACCAAAGACCCGTGGTACAATCGTATGGTAGAAAACATCTCTCAAAAACCTGAGCAATATCCACTTTGGAGAATTGAGAATGGGGATATTTTCAAGAGAGTATTTCTCCAGTATCTGAACCTAGAGGATGGAGACAATTGGTTACGTATTATCCACAAGGAACAGAGACGCGAACTAATTGCCGCAAATCGAATTTTCAAGGCGACAAATAACCACAACCTTGGCTCTTGTTGTGGGCCTGATGAAGCCAACCAGCAGAAATACGTATCGCTCGGGTTACCTATCCTATTTTCTGCTCGAATCCACTTTTTGCGGATTTTGCCCATTATTTTCCTATTTTTGTTATATACCTTTCTCCGCATGATAATTTTCTCTTTCATATATATATATATATATATATAAATTCGAAAAGAAATTACTGTAAATAAGATATTTGAAGAAGAATGACTTGGAACTATACTATTCTTTCACTCAATTGAAGAAAAAATGTTTGAAAATCAAACTTCAAAATAAAGAACTTCGAAAGACCTTTTAAGCTATTACTTGTCATTTAACATTTTTAAAGGAATGAACCTGAGGGGCCTGGGTGAAGGGGGTGAAGTAGTTTTTCGTTAAAAAGTTGACCCCCTTGACAAATCCTTTGACGTGTCACGACCCACGGATTTTTGGACATCTCGGTGTCCAAAAGACTTTCGCCCGCTTAGCTGCCAAAGTTTGTCGGCCGAAGATGAACGAGGACGTAGCTCGGTATATCCGAAGTTGTAAGGTCTGTCTGCAGACTAAGCCCCTCCAACATGGTCCTACAGTTTCTCGCCCTTTTGAGGTCGTGAGCATTGATTTGGTCGGTCCTCTGCCCCGAAGTTCCTCTGGATATCAATACATAGCTACGATGGTAGATGTGTTCAGTAAGTTTCTTCTATTTCCGCTCAGAAAAGCCACCTCTTCCAAGTTAGCTAAGATCTTAGACCATCCTCATAGCATTGAAAACGTGTTGTTTAATAGAAATGAGTCGACGGTAGTGTCTCCCCCTCCTCCCCACCTCCCTCCCCCCACTACTATAACTCATCGACCGGGCGAACGAGCAGCAGCGGTCTTTTCCCACTTCAATCTCGTCATCCCTACACCTGAATCCGATGATATGACCATTCTTTGCCCTCTCACTCGTCGTGTGCGGCAGGGTAAGGGGTGGGTGGTAAGGGGTGGGGGGTAAGGGGTGGGGGGTGTTTAAATTCCGACTCCTCTCAATAACAATCCTGTTAGCATCGAAAACGTATTTTTCGACAAATTTGTATCGTATAAATAGCTCGATGGAAGGCATTCGCGCCCTCTCAGTGACCATTCTAATTGTAAAACCTCTTGACGTTTCGGTCCCCGATCAATAAACTATTGTATAGTAGAAGAGAGTCGACTCTCAATGGACATGCTAATTCTAAAACCTATTATCGGTTTGGTATAATAGAAATGTTGACAGCATATTTTTTGTAGCCTACCTGAACTCTTGTATGCACTTGTGCAGTAACGTAATCTAAGTCTGCTTAGGTAAATAGCTCGATGGAACCCTTGGTGGTGTGGTGGGTTAAGGGGCAGGGGTGTTTAAATTCTAAGTCCTCTCAATGATCATCCTCATAGCATCGAAAACGTGTTGTTCGACAAAATTTATATCGTATACATAGCTCGAGGAAGGGATTGTTACCCTTTCAATGACCCGGCAAATTGTAAAACCACACAGCAGTTCGGCCCCTTTATATATATATATATATATATATATATATATATATATATATATATATAATAAAAATAGGAAAATAATGGACAAAATCCGCAAAAAGTGGATTCGAGCAGAAAATAGGATAGGTAATCCGAGCGATACGTATTTCTGCTGGTTGGCTTCATCAGGCCCGAAATGAATGTACATATGCAACTACAAAACCTGAGGAAACGAAGGTGGAAAGGAAAAAAAGTCACACGAAGTCCACAACGCGAGCCAACCTACACATTGTAGTATAAAATGGCTACAAGACCTCGAATTTTCAAGGCGACAAATAACCACAACCTTGGCTCTTGTTGTGGGCCTGATGAAGCCAACCAGCAGAAATACGTATCGCTCGGGTTACCTATCCTCTTTTCTGCTCGAATCCACTTTTTGCGGATTTTGCCCATTATTTTACTATTTTTGTTATATACCTTTCTCCACATGATAATTTTCTCTTTCATATATATATATATATATATATATATATATATATATATTCCTGAAGAATGTGAGCACGAAAGGTAAGGCCATTTTCACTTACTACCATTAGATATAACGATATCATTGATTTTAAAATTTGGTGGTCGCAATTCATAAGAAAACGTCCAAGTTGGACAAAAAGTTAGTTTTACCATTTCACCGTGCAGTCAGTTTACATACACTAGTGAAACTCCAGGATATGTGACGACAAGTAACTTCATAGGTGGTTTTCTGCCATACACTTTCAAGTTAATCAAACCTAATACTAATCCACAATTAGAAGCTGTTCCCATTAACTCGAAGAAGATAACTGACTTGAAGAAACTTTTACGTTACTTTTCTGATGAAGGCCTTGAGTTTTAATACCATATTGTTTCTTGGAAAGTAAAAACTGAAGATTCATTTGAAAACTTCCCACCACGGATTTATCGAAAATCACTGATTAAAAGAAAAAACGCCGAGACACGTCAAAGGATTTGTCAAGGGGGTCAACTTTTTAACGAAAAACTACTTCACCCCCTTCACCCAGGCCCCTCAGGGTCATTCCCTTAAAAATTTTAAATGACAAGTAATAGCTTGTTTAAAAGGTCTTTCGAAGTTCTTTATTTTGAAGTTTGATTTTAAAACATTTTTTCTTCAATTGAGTGAAAGAATAGTATAGTTCCAAGTCATTCTTCTTCAAATATCTTATTTACAGTAATTTCTTTTCGAATTTATCTATTTATGTCACAATACATGATTAGGCTGAGTAACCTATGGTTTTACTTCAAAACAGTTTTTTTTTGTTTTTCTCAAAACGGTCATTTTGGAGATGTATGGTTCTTTCACTCATCGATTCAATTAAACATGTTTTAAACAAAAAACTAAAAGAGGCACAATCAATCTATATATTGGGTAGTTTTCATTAATAAGGCAAAAAGTAGGTCACAGCTAATGTATATTGTCAAAAAAACTATTTTTGCAATATTTTTTCATTAAATGATAAAGATTCTCTCTTTTGAATCCTATTTACTTGATATTTTTATTCAAAATTTCTTTTTTTGAAAGTTGATCAGGTCCACAGAACGTGATTTATCATGTCCGTGGACAGTCACAACTGCAGCTCTGAACACGAAAAGTTTTTTTTTTCATTAATAGAATAGAAATAAAAAGATATTGTGCTGGTGAACAGGTTATTTTTATGTTTCTTCACTTTTCCTGAGTATGAAAATAAATTACCCGACTTTTATATGTTAATTTTTATGTACTGAAGTCTGTCATAGAATTTCCGTCATGTCCGTGGACCCTCACTATAAATTAAAAAATTCACGCGAATAATATGCTACAACAAATTTGTAGCAGGAGGCGCTGTAAACATTACACCTAAGAACATGTCTAACGTATCGGTGAAGCGATTCCAAAATCCATTCTTCGCATAAAAAGTGATTTAATTGGTGAAATCCGTCTCGTCAACTACCTTTGTCAAGTCTGTGGAACCTTGAAAAAGTAAGTATTATTTTAGTTTTAGGTTTCATGAGTCTTGTATAGATAAAATATACATGAATGGTATGATTTAACAGTTGACGCATTTTCTCACCTCAAATATATAGAAAGTAGATTCTCTCAGACGTTTTTTCGTCATTTCTGTGGACATGATGTCCGTGGATTCTTGTTGTCCACGGATGTGACAAAATATTAACGGCCGTGATTCTGTTGATTTTAAGAATGTTGTGTAACAATATTTATTGATAATTTTAGGTTTCAAATGGCAAAAACGAAAAAGATAATTAGTCGACAATTGGAAAAAATGAGGGAGGCTAAGAAAATGAGTATGAGACGAGCTAGAGAAAAAATAAGAAATGATCCGGTCCATCACGCTGAGGAAAAAGTAAAAGATAGATATCGTAAAAGAAACAGCCGGCGAAATATTCAAGACTTGAGTGAGAGAGAGCAAAAGTTCGAAAAGATTGGAAGGAACGCTCCAGACGCTATAGACAACGGAAAAAAGCTGAAGAAAAGCTCAAGAGGATGAAACCATTTTCCTCCAATCAAATACACCACCGGATAGCCCTCAACGGCCATCTCCAAGTATGTCACGGAACTCCGCTTCTCAAGAAAGAGGGAAAAAATATCCAGGAAAAATAGAGACAGAATGAGAAGGAAACTCAAAGAAATGGAGAAACAAAATGCGACACTTAGAAGAACCATCAACAAATACAAAAATGGCTAACTAGGACAAATCAGTGTAATTCCACTTCTAGATGCACCTCAACAAGTCCCTCTTCAAAAGTTTAAGATATTTTGAATAAACATTCGGTACCACCACCTGTCAGAAAAAAGCTACTTTTTGCAGAAGTTATTGAGCAACAAATAAGGCAAAACTTTGTCAAAGAAAAAAACATGAAAAGAAAATGTGTTTTTCATCATTTATTAATGGCGATCTAATTAAAAAGAACAAATTTTTGACTCATGTCCGTAGGCTTACTTCATTTAAGATTCAGATACGAAATTGTAACATAACTATGTAAAAAAGATTTTAAAAGCAACAGTGAAGGTGAGAGAGAGTTTCTAGAAAAAGACGAGAAGAGTGTTCTCACAGCTGGGAAAAAAGAAACAATATCAAGAAATAAAAATAAAAAACAAAAAAGGTGCCTTAACGATACCTTACTAAACCTACATAAAAAGTTTGTTGCCACTTATCCTCAGTTTAGAAATGTTAGTTACGCAACATTTTGCAAATTTTGGACTTTTTGGGTGGTAACTCTCAATTATAAAAGTAGAGATACCTGCTTATGTAAGCAACATGCCAATATGGCTCTTTTAGTTGAAAGTTTGAAGAAGCACAAAATTTTCTATCAATTGACGATCAGTCATTCTTTGACATGGATAAATTGGTTCCCAACAGTATCCCTGTATTCAAGGGAACACTATATTCACACCAAATAGTGTGGTATATCAGTGAACCGCAAAAACTATTTGTGAGACGGTTAAGTTGCTTAGAATGTTCAACTACTTGCAAGCATTACCATTTAGGCAGCCTTTCATTTAAGTCTGGTTCAGTTAACGGTGTTAATCTCGAAAAGAACCATACAGAAGATGGTGTTTCTCAATCTGTCATTTTTCCTCAACGTGTACACTATGAAGACGTTTACGGATCTGACACTGACACTAGCGAAGACATACCGCTTTCAACCTTGAAAAAGCAATTGAAAAGTGCTAATAATTCGTAGTACTTATAAATATTTTTCATACCTTTACGTTTCTTAACTTAGGGTAGCTCTTGTATTTTGCATAATTAAACGAATTCAAACGTTGTTGTTGTTTAGCTGTCATCCAATACTCCACATTCCTGCCCTATTTCATCCTAAGGTGGTTACGGAAAGAGCTTAAACTTTAGCTACTCAATAAGACGCGTAGGGTGACTAATGATAGTTCGAATTCACTTAGCCAACTCAGGTATAGATTTTACACAAGCAGTAGGTGGCCTATATAATTGCATTTTGGATAGATATGACAAAAATACAACTGCTTTGTCACGTCCGTGGTCAAGAACATCACGTCCGTGGGCAGTGGGTTTTATTTTTTTTAATTTACAGGCGAAAAAAATTATATCTAGCGTGACAGCTAGTATTTCTTTGAAACTTATCCTTTGAGCAACAAAGCTACAAAAAAATATATATGCATGATGTAGTTTTATTATTTTCAAAACTGGCTACTGAATCTTCCAATTTATCAAGAAAGACCCATTACTAATAATCAAGTAGCACCGTTTATGGTTTTTTGCACATGCATTTCAATAATGTCATATGAATAAATAAGTAAATGCTTATAAGCAAAAACGGTAATAAGCCCATTAAACTTCTTCCATGGGAAAAAACTTTATACGAGGCTATGGAGGGAAACCCAAATCCAATCTAAATTGCCTTGCCCACAGTTCTTTAAGTTTTCATTATACCATGGTAACTTTTATGAAACTGAATCCAACAATTATGTTGAAGAATTATTTGTTTTACCACCAGTCTCAGCACCAGAAATAATGGCCTGCTCAATGCCTAGCTCTTCACCAATTCCGCTTCAAAAACATGAATTTACCAAATATCTTAAACATACTTTCATTCTGGCAGCTCGGTTATAAGCTTTTGGGCTATTACAAATATCTATTTGCATCAAACTGTTCATGTTTTTGGTGTTTACCAAATACATGTTTGTGGTTCCTGCGAAAAAATACCAGATCGGTAAAGGATTTTCTGAGCCCAACAATTTCTTGGAATTTATCCGATGCAGGGAAATATTATTGACTGATCGTCATTATTTGCAAACATATATGCTTCTGCTTATGTTTGATCAGCCTGAAAATTTTGAAACGTACGAAAAACAGAACCTCAAATGTAAATACATAGACAAGTGTGTGACAGCACATGACTACAAGGAAATTTGGACCACACTCCTGCCTTCCCGAACGAGAGGAAAAACAGGGAGGTCATGGCCAATGATGGCTTCATAGAAGATGGCCTACGGAGTAGGAACGACTATAATCTCCACCCTTAGTTTCCGGAAAACTGAAATGATGTCTGGGAATGACTGTAGGGCCTTTCTTGCAATTTTCTTCGATATATCACAACACGATGATAATATATTGGCTAGCAATGGAGCAGATATCTGAGGCCCTAGAATTTTTTATGGCATTCAAGCAAGATATCTCATTCAAATATGCTTTGTCTCAACTCATAGGTTGTATTGATGTACTAGTTAAAAAAAAGCTAAAATACTGTAAAATCACTGTTTGAATCTCTTTGAATACTTGATCCTACGAGATTTACAACTCTCTGTAGCCAGGATCCTCAAGTAATGACACTTGGGCACCACTTTTCAAAAGTGAGGTATTAGTTCTCCATGATCAGCTTCATTCCAGTACAACAAAGTGGAGCGGTCAAAATAAAGGTGCTGTTGGTGGGCCATGTTTTCTGTGCATTTTCATATAGCCTGGAAAATCGCCCCGGTTAATGTGGACAATGCAGTTCAGCGGGCTTTGAGTCAACACATAGATAGTATTGGCCACAGATAGAAGCCACAATGTGGCAGAAAAACTGCTTGAAGCCACCAAATACATGAAAATATAGAATTTACGAATTTCTCCTTCGAGATATACCAACACCCTGTATATCAGTCCCTTCTCCACTTCTTAAATGAAAGGTATCGATTAGTACTCACTTCATGTCAAGCGTCACTCCGGTAAAAAATGTCCGTGACTGACCACTTGACCACAGCTCTAATAAGGAAATCGTAGCAAATCGGATGGCAAACATATACGAGTATAATATACATAAAATCTGATAATATTGCAAAAATGTGTTTAGAATCTTACAAGGAATCCAGAAATTGAACACTATACAAGATGCCCCATTTAAAATAAGCATGTTAGCTATTACCATTTTGAAAATATTTCAAATGAATTGCTGGCATCAATTTTATAGAAGAAAAAAATGTAATTTTATAATCCATACTTTCCTAGTTATCGATGTGTGTAGTTGATAAACCATATAAAATCCTTGTTAACCTTTACAGCTGAAGAAGACCATGTCTCGATATCGCCATCTGGAGCACCTGTCCATCTGCACCAGCAGACCGTGTCAATGGGCGGCCATGTGGCTTCGCCATCAGGCAGCAAAGTGTCCAGTATCCGATCTTCTCCCCCTCCACAACAGGTCCCGAGAATGCATCACACATATGACCACTCGTAAGTTTTTCCTACATGATAGCCGTGGTGGTTTGTCTTCTGGGGTGTGGTAATCGGTAAATATTTTATTTATGAATTTTAAAATTGGGTTATTTATTTAAAGGTATTTTTTTACGATTGGAATTAGCTGCCCACCGAATTAGGTATAGGCTGAGTTGCAAATATTGTTCTAAAGATCATGGGCTTGAATTTTAAGCAACAGATAGTGTTTTTTTGTATACTCCAACTACCACGAAGGCCTAAGGCCTAAACACCCATTGGGTACCGTGGGGCTATAGGGGATACAGGGGAAAGGGGGAACGCCACACGGACTCTGGCAAGGGAACACGTGTGCATGCAACATGCACACGTTCTGGCTCCGCCTACGAGATCCGCCGGGTGGTACCTGCGCGTTCGACAGTTAGAGATCATCTACCACCTACGGACAATCACAACATCCATAGCCAAGAGAAAAGTTTCTTCTGGGACGCGATTCGAACCCGCACAGCGCACGGCGACTGATCAGGAGACCGAAGAGTCTACTACTGCGGCCACCGCTGCTGCCTAGTGTGTTGTTATGGCGTAATAAGAGTCGCTAAATACTACTCGAAGTCAAAAATGCTTCTTTAGATGGTGCATCGCCTATAAAGATAACCTGATAAAGTTGATTTTATTTTTAATAAAAGTATCTTAAATTTTTGTGTTATAATGTATAATAGTATTTAATGTCTTCATTTATATATGTTTACCGGGCAGTTTTAGGGTCTTTAATAAAGTCATTCAACTTGGCCTAACTTATCCGAACTTGACCCGTTTGACTAACGAGGCAGAGAATCCATGCCTGTTCTAAAAGGCAAGCAACCAACCCCTATGGCAGAAATCTTCCCGGCAAGAAGTTTTTTACAGTCTCTGTCCAATAGCGGGCGGTTTTTGACAGTGTCTGTCCCATAGCGGGCGGCTGACAAAGCTGTCTTAAGCCGTGACGAAGGTTAACGAGGGCCGTTTCAGCGTAGCAGGCCATGCGAGCTAGTGATGTAAGATTTGGAATGAAAATATTCGTTTATTCCGAGTATAGAAATCCTCGGATGATTCCCAGTATGTACCACGCGCACCAGTCGATAACAAAATCGCGATTAATTATTCCAAGTCGAAACGACGCCGATAACGAATGCGAATGCTTGTGCTGTTTTGTCTGTTGATGACAGGTCGTACGAAAATGAAATCTGAATCGGATTGTTTTGAAACAGTAACGGAAGCATGGAAGCGATAGTGAAAGATCATATAAAAATAAAACCAGCAGGCTTATTACCTAACTTCCAACCGACCCGAATTGGTCGATAGTTGCTGTCAAGCGCAAATTTCGTATTATGTATCAGTCAGCGTGTCTCAATCAGCGACCGGCTACGGTGGCGCCTCTATGGAGCAACTGGTTAACGAAAAGTGCATTCTTTTGTTAGGAGTATCAAAAAATTGGTATTCCCTAACTCATTGACAGCGACCCAACAGAAACTTACTAGCGCTTTGAACTGACAAATTAACAACTGCTGAGTGGTAGACGACTAGTCGGTCGCTAATCGGTTGCTAGTGTTTTGTTTGGGTAAATTTGTCAAAACTATTCAGTTTTTTAACAAGAAAGGTAAGTATAACAAGTTCAATAAGGAATAAAATAGCTTGACGAGTCTACGAAGTGATTGTATGCTCCCAATTTGTATTTTCAGCAATTTTGATTCTCTGGATGGCTCCTGCATTTTTGCTTATGGAAGCATTGGAAAGCGAAAACATGCACGTTCAAAGACGGCAAACTTCTCGCCTACGGCGTATTTTTCAGTATCTATGAGTTGAAGTTCGTAATGATTATCAAATAAGCTTACTTGCACCTTCCTACTACAGTATAGAAACATATTGGTTTTAGGTATTAGCAGCATTTCTGGTGCTGGCCACTGGTTCCTGCAGGAAATATATTGGCATGGGTTATTTACATGGGCTCAGTCAACCTAGTGTATCCAAAGCACTAAGGGAAGTGGTGGTTGCATTAAATCATCCAGACATTCTATCTAAGCATATTTACTTCCCTCAAACACTGTCAGAGAGGACAGTAATTATATTAAGAAAGTGAGATTGTATATCAAAATTGTATGGTGGATCATTAACTGAGAAACTAATGAGTTCAGCTACATCAAAAATTTCCTATTAACAAGAGTAAAAAGTCAATATTCATCGATCCTAAGATCAATATCTCAGACTCATTATCTGTAAGATTAACAATACAGCAACAAATCCGAGTATCAATATTTCACATATTTTAGGCAACATACCGATTTCAGCACTAATATTTACTTTGTTTTTTTTAATTTAGTTGTAATGATTGTTATATGCCTGCTTGAAGATGAGTAATAATGAAAGATATATTTTTACAGGTGACTCTGGACATCCATTAAGAATCGGTCTTACCAGAAATACCATAGGGCGATAAACAGGAGTATTAAAATTTTTATTATCTACTGTATCGAACATTTTAAATTTTCATGAAATAATGTTCATTGTCATATGCTTATGCTTGATGATATCTCTGCCACTGTAAATAAAGTGTTAATTTTTATTGAATTAGTTTTCTAGGAAGTTTTATTTTCACATGTCCATATTCAACAATATCTGTTTTAGAGGATTTGGAACAAGCCTAAAAGTACACTTTGAGCGAATATCAAGAAAAATTGCAAAATGCATTTGTAACAAAAAGCACTGCCTTTTTAAAATATAGTTATAAAACCGCTGACCTTCTTTTTGTAATAGAACCCACATTTTTTTATCAATTTAAGCATTAATGGTACTAAATACAATCGTAAAAATTTCTCGGTGTTCCACAATCACTCAAACATCCTAGAACTTCGCCGCTTGTGAAGATTAGTACAAATCACTAAATGTATTTCTTATGAGGACCAATACTCTTTAAAAAATGTATCAATAGCATTTCTACTAATATAATTTTTTTAATGACGCTCCTATTTTGTTTTCGCCAATTTGCAGCAATTATTTTAAATACAATAAAAAAAATCTTATTGTCTTAAAAATATATTGAGAGACAAACTTTTTACCGTATTAAGAGTTATAAATGATTTATGGATTGGAGGTGCCATTACAAAAAATATGTTAGTGGTTTTTATGAAATAATATAAGAGAAGTGGTTTTAACACAAAAAAATAGCGCACTGTTACACAGCAGCAATAGGAATAATATAGTAAATTGATTTGTGCAAATATCTTTTATTAAAATGACAAAGATTAGGTCGCGCAAGTGAACAATAATCATAAAAATATTTTATCCTTTCTGAATTTCAATCATGTTTGAAGGTTTGAGATGCTTGACCAAATTTCTTGTGAAATTTTTGAAGTTGCATTAATGCCATCTCTGCCTGCATACTGCACACTGCATAGCTATTTGTAATTCTATTTCTGGTGGTGGCTCAACAGCTGAAGATGAAGGAGTTGATTCTGAAAATCAAAAAGCTTTCAATTAATGTCTGAAATTATGAAGCAATACCAAGTAGAAACTGAATTTCATATGCAATTTTTCGTTCTAAAACAAGATCATCACTAATGAAAAATTAAAATAAAAATTTGTATTTTTTCCATTTGAAGCAGAACTTTGTACTTATTTCAAATCAAATTCAATGTGGTTTACTTAAGTGGGCAATAGAGATAGAGAATATAAACTGATTTTTCATTGATTAATATTAATCCCTTTTAAATTTATATAGGAGTTATGTACTTACACTAAATGGAATTTGAAGTTCAGTATCTCTAAATACTGCTGCTGTTCCCAATATGGCCATATCTACTTCAGATAAGTTATCAACATTAGCACCCTCCACCAGTACCTGTAGCATCCTGTCTATATTGTGCAGGTCTAGATTGTATCCTGTTTAAGGTCTCTCCAATACTGTAAAAAAGTATTATTGTATTAGTATATGAATAAAAGCATATGGAACATGGAACAAAATGCCTTACCTACAGTACTAATCCAAAAAAATTACCCATGGAATCTGTGTAAACTACGTTTGCAAATATTAAAAGATGGTAGCAAATATTTGGAAAAATACAAAGATGTACATTGAATTAAACAAACTATTTTCTACCAGTTTTCGCTTTTTTAATGAATGGACATACATGCTTTTTGAAAATAATCTGAGTACAAAAGAGTTTCATATAAAGTCTAGTCCAATAAAAATTGAATTACTGCAAAAATGGTTAAACGTAATCGTTTCTCAAGTTACTTAAATAAAACAAGTTTTTGATAAAATATTGTGAAAACGAAGTCTTTGGGAACAATTGTGCTATTACACTGTTAAAGATAATTTTCTATTAATCAACATTGCATTTTTCCTTCTATAAAAAGTTCTACAACTTTTTTGAATTTATCTAATGAAAAGAGGAATACAGAAAATCTCAAACACAAGTAAACACTATGTTCACGTTTTCTGGTGCATTTGCAGCCTTTAATGAACAAGCAGTCACCTAGAACTATGTAGGTAAGTGCCAGCAAGTGCTGATTGATTTAAACATCTGGCACTTGTCAAAAAGCAGTTTTCACCCTCGCGTTATTTTGCATCGCTCTTTCTACCTTGAGATAAGTCTTCAAGGCTAATCTATGTAAAACTGTGTCATCTATTTGTCGAGAAATGACTGTGTGTGTATATATTAAGTGTGTATCAAGGGTCCACTCTTGACTTACGTAAACATCCATACATCTGCGGCTCACACAGACATTCATTTTTAAGAACAGACAATCGTATTATATACTTACGTGTTCAATTTTCAACAAAACTAAGTCCCATAGTTAATTTTAAATTCATAATCACGATCCACAATGTATTTATCATTTTTCGATTTATAAACACGACGATTGTTTACCATCGTATGTCACTTTAATTCCATCGGTTGCTACTCGATTGTTAGTGGCGCAGTTTCGGTCGCAAAAACTGCATTCAATGACATTTGGGCAACCGGTTCCCAATTGCGTTAGCGAATACGAATTTTTCGGTCGGTCGATAACCGGTCGCAAGTCGGTTGGTGGTCGGTTGCTCACCGATCAGAGTTGGAAATTTTTACGTAATAAGCCTGCGGAGTCGGATTATATAAGATTTAAATTGAAACTATAATAAATTACTTCTACTCACGAAGTATTTCAATTTCTGATTGCATAACTTGCATACAGCAAAGCTGTGATCAGCAGTTTTTTCAAAAAATATTTAGGCTCGAGTCTTTTCCAGGCGCTACTTTCTAACTTAAAATTTTCCTCGCAAAACTTGAAACTAGATCTGCTGAACTGAATACGAAAAACAAATATTAGTCACCACCTAAGCCGATTATCCTAAACCTATTTAAATTTACGAGTGTATGAATGATATTGGCAACCGCAACACATCAAGCATGTATCAGGCCGAGCCGTGACCGGTCATTCAATGTCGGTGCTTAGTGTTGCCTTGCAGCCTTTTGAATTCGGAAGCGAATTAATTATCAGGCTCTTTCAATACATATACCGATTCCGAATAACCGAATATCTTAATCATTCTGGTAGGTATTGTATATCTCTAATTCTAATGTGAGCTTGCTCTGCCGACATGTGATTGTGACCTTGAAGCAGAGACTAGACCATTCAAGCCCTGACCAGTAACTGGGCCATGGATACAAGGCTCGAAATTTTGCATAACTCAGTAAGAGTGCTGGTTCTCCTGTGCATTCGGGGCGTGTAAGAGGTGGAAGGGCCTCGGAGAATTGGGCTAAGATTGGTAAATGTAATCGAAGGTATACCCCGTTCCCGGCTATATTTACCCGTCCCTTTCCACATGTACCGCTTCGGCCTTGATATCATATATGAATAAAGCAAAAAATAAAGCGGACAACTTGCAGGAGGTTTCATCAGAAATTTCAACCGACAAGCGCGATCGATCCGATCCACAGCTTTGCTGATAGCAGCATTCTACTAGCGGGAATTTAGAGTGACAAACCAATCTCAGCCGGTGAGCTGGAGAAAAGGAGACTAGTAACGACTTTCTCTCTGACGAGAGACCCGGAGGTTATCAGTGCTTGAGGGTCCAACAATATTGTACAGTTTAGTGCTTCCAAAACTCAGTACTGTACCGTGACTAACAAGAAGCGCCCTAGCGCTTATACGATTTCGGCAGGTCGAAGTTCAGATCATCAAGAGCTTGATCTAGCTCGAACACAAATCGTCAATAGCATAATTTGTTCGGAAAAAACTAAACTATTTTTTGGGGCTAACAAGTAATTTTCCCCATATGACCTCCACTCTGTACAAGGCCCAGATAAGACCTAGCCTCGAGTACTGCTCACATGTTTGGGGTTCTGCCGCCCCGACTACATTATCCATGCTGGATGCTCTTTAGAGGAGGGCTGTCCGACTATCGATGACTTTTTTTAACGGACAGTCTCGCTACGCCAAATGGTCTTGGTCCTCGCAGCTCTCCTCCATGAGGCCGCCGCGAGATGTGCCTGCCAGACAGACCCGCCGGAATTCTACCCACCTATTGGACAGTAGCTACCGGTAGGGCAGGAAAATAATCTCTATGGACTAATTGTGTAGGCCTATTTCATTAAAGAAGTGCAGAGGCAACCATTTTTCAACTTATTTAGTTCAGCCGTTATTAATGCGACATTATTAGTGGACTCGATCTTACTTACATGCATCAAATTAATCACTCTGAATTTCAGCTTGCTATCTGAACCTATTCAGAAAATAAGTGATGAGGAACTTTATGTTAAAATGAAATGTATATCCCGTCAATGCCTCTCAGCATCTTTTAACATTTGCCTCACGTGAATCATTGAATTAAATGACAAAATACCATTGTCGTCCACGTTTACGAATGCAGTATTTGTATTTGCCAAAATTCTCCATTCAGTATGCCTAAATTGTTAATTTAAACGTTAATTATTCCAAAGTATTTTGACGTAATAAACAATTGACTTTATACAATTTTGTATATGTTAAGCGTTAGTACTGCATTTCAATACGGGGATGAAAATGCTGCTAATAGTCTGCCAAACGTAAGCGTCATCATTTGTTTTCCTTCTCGACTTTTCCATCCTACCAGTAATTTTGTCCAAACATTTTAATACCAATATTCTGGGCAATTATGAGCTGAATTCGTGATTCATTAGTTTCAAAACTCACAGATTGTTCCTTTCGCATAATTTCTTGTGTTAAATTTAAGTGACCTACTAAAGTGCCTAATAGATGGAGAAAAAAAATAATAAATCCAACAAAAATGCGTTGATCTGACAACCTCCACTCGAATGATACTTTTGTCATATTATATTTCCTTCCGCACGTTGTGTTTTTCAGTCTCTTTTGCAACATTGATCATACCGTTTGGTGTGATGTATAAATAATGACAGTATTGTTTCTGCTGATGAGATATAAATAACATTCATTACATTACTGTTTTAACGTCGTACAAGAAATCGTGATTAGGTTATTTTTCCGATGTGGACCTGATGATTTTTTTGTCTATAATTGAACTCCAGATGGTTCGCGAACTAAGGAGTCATTTCATCTCCTCTTTATTCTCATAGCTCGGTACTAGCCACAGATTTTTTAGTCGCTTAGTCTCTAACTTAAAATTATTCCAAGATATTTTCACATTAACCTTATGTTACGTTGGACGTAAGAAACATATTTTCTTTATATTTCAAGTACAGAAAATATTGCAAACTTTGGATTCTAAATTTCTAAATATGCATATTCTTATAAATTACCCGACTTTTATGCTCGGAAAGCAAATATACACTCATTTTTGTTGTAATATTCATAACATCTATTTTTAATTCACGGCCCATTTTGCACAATAAACAACATATTGCAAGAAAATCAAAACACAAATAAATTAACTGTCACCCATAAATAGGTCATCGAAGTCAGCGCCAACAAAAAGTCACTACCCTCATGTGTTGGTTTGTTGCCCTCAATGGTGAGGCGGTGGAATGAACAACAATCAACAACATGTTCAAAGCATTTAATAAAACATGTCTTTTGTAAGTTCGTCAGTCGCATTTTTATCTGGATTGAAGTGCGGTGTTTGTGCTCCAAGCCGCAGTTATATGTATAAGGCCAAGACGGCTGTAATCATTTATCTTTAGTTATGTGTATGGGTTTCTGTAATGTTTATACACTTTTACGATCATGAACAAAATTTCTTAATCTAAAGCGCCTTTTTTATTTTCAGCAATATTCTGGAAACTAATGAAGAAACCTCCGTGTGAGAAGAATCTATGATCTATTTACTTTATACGCAAATATTTGCTGTATGTATTTCTATTTTGAAAGAAATGAAAGCATGCAATTTTCAGAACTATGTAGTACAAATAAGCAAGTGGAACATGACAAATATTGAGACTGCTTAGGGCCACTATTACTTAATTAGTATACATTTTATTATTAATAATTGAAGAGGCAGCAGTAGGAAAAGCTATGCAAAATGCACATATTTTTTATCTAGGAATGATTAGTGGTGATATAACAACTGTTGTGGCATGAATTTCAGTATGCGAATAAAAATAGGCAATACGAAAACCTTGGATTCGTAGGAGAAACTTTCCGATCAATTTTTTTAAAAGGACGTATGTTGGGTGCCCAACATGAAGCAAGAGGTTGCTGCGCGGCAGCCTGTTGCAAAATTGCCTAAATGATTGTTCAAATAAATTTCAACGAAGAGTGATGTATAGTAAAGGTTTTTTTTAAGTTTTTTTAGGTCATTTTGAACGCAAAGCTACTAACTTTTCTCTAAAGTTGGCCAATTTCGAGTTATAAGCAATTTAAAGTCTGAAAATGGCCATTTTCAATGATCGGAGACTGTTAAAGTTCAAACTATCCCCTACAAGACCCCGTAGAGTATTTTAGGCTTAGTTTATTTTAAGTATTGTTAATTGATTTTTAATAACGCGAAATGGCTACGCGCGCGTCCTTCTAGCAGACGGAAGCTGTGCGGTGGATTGGGCGTGACTCTGAGCAAAAAAATTGTGATTTGCTTAAAAAAATTGTATAACCTCCGCATCAGGTTACCACACGGTAATCTCTTGATTCACGTTAACAATCGTCCAACAAATGTGATTGTGTGGTGTTAGATTTTCGCCTCGTCTAAAAAAATCAAAAATATTGTTGATTTAAAAGTACGACAGAGCTGAAAATCGTTGCGATTGGTTACAAGTCTTTCCAAAAGTGGAGGCGAAGGAAGTTTCTTACCATATTTTCAACCTAACAAAAAATTCAACAATAAATTTTTTTATTAAAATAACCTTAAAGATGGCCATGAAAATTTCATGAGCCTAAATTTAAGGAAAATAGACTTCTGTCCTTCCTACGCCTATGTGCTTGGCAAACATAGTTAAGTATTGCTATACATATATTTATATATCCCTTAGTTACAATCACGTAGTATTTTGACAAGTGTAAATAATTAAGCTACGGCAAATAATTGTAATACTCTTTATTTAAATTTAGGTATAAATTAAAGCACCAATATAGAATATACATGATGATATCTGAACATTGATAAGACTGTATTAAAACAATCGATAAAACTAGAAATATAAAAAATGATGTGTACCTTGGATATATTGCGAACGTACAAGGTATATACCGTATGTCAAAATTTTTTTTGAATCTGACTCAAAAGCTCGCTAGAGTACAAAATAAAGATAAAATGCATTACAAAAAACATGTATTTTATGTTATACCACATAATGTAGATGTGCAATACACTGATATTTAAAGAATATTATGGAATATATAAAAACTACATAAAGATGATACATTCAGTAGCATATAATTATTGTTGCGGCTGTGGTTAAAATGATTTTCTTTAGATAATTATCAATTCTAGAGTGCTTCCTTTATTTTTGGAACGGATCAAGTTAGCAAGATGGAATTTGAGATAATGAAATTGATGCGTGGTTTTAGCGTAAAAGTGTCAACTTTGAATTTTTCAGATGGAATGGTAGACATGTCACTTAGTATATAAAACATTTGGACTGAGGGGTTGTCAAAGTATTTCTACATTGACTCACTTATTGCCAAACAATAGTGTTTCTCTTTTATACTTTAGCTTTTTGATGAACGAGTCGGCCATTTCTGAAGGTAGGGAACTATATTTTCTAGGATTATCAAGAACTCATAAGAAGCTTCAAAATGATTTTACATTCATTCAATTTAAAAAGATTTTTCAGGATTGTGCACAAACGCGATCTTGAAATTTTATGTCATTTTTACACTAAAATCATCATCCATCAATTTCATCATCCGGAAGTTCCATTTGCTGGTCAAAAAATAAACTGGGGATGTATGACTGGCGCACTAAAGATAAACTTCGTGTAATATCATATCCATTTTTCATACTTTCATGAAAAAAATATTCATGAGATATAACTCAAATCTAGTTTTGATGTTCGGTATCAAAATTCAAAACCATCGTTGGAATAACTTATATGAATCAACTCAACATAATTGAGATAATATAGGCAAATGCCTTAACAAGTTAAAAAAAGAAATGTATAATATAATCACGCTAAACAAAGTTTAATACAATATGTCAATAGTATAAAAAGCGCGACTTAAACATCATTTTAACATTTCTTGGCATCCGCAATTGATTACAGCTCGGAAAGGGCGATTAAAAACAGTGGTAGTATTTCTAGAACAGAAACTACATCAGCAAAAAAACAAGAAAGGACCTTAAATGTATGATGATGAAGAGACAGAGTATTGAAAATTTGCACGCCACTGGCGAACAACGACAACGCATGAATATTCAAAGAACACTGTACAAGGTATACATATATATACATACCGTCTGATTCAAATTCAATCCTCACTATTGGATTTCGGAAACGGTAAGAGATAGGAAGTCGCTTAAATAACTTTATTTGTAGTAGGATTTAAAAATAAATTTCATATTAACATTGCCACTTTTTCTCGTCTATAGAATTTCAATATTATGTTTCGTTTCTTGCTCTCCAGCATCAACTTTATTTTTTCTTATGGATGCTATATTGGATTTTTCCACAAATGAATAGAGATTTTAATTCTGACTCCAAAAATGTATAATGTATTTATTGACATTGACATTCAAAAACCTTAGCGCCGTATCGTCAAATGAATATCTAGGAAATTCTCTTTTTTTTAATAACTAAGGGTCGTATCGTCAGTTGTTCCTACAATTGTAGGACGTCTTTATGGCCTCCTTGATTTTCATAGTTTTCTGCTGATCCGTGTCCGCGCTCTATTTGGAGGTTATGTTAGAAAGAACGCATGTTTTTTAAATAAGTAGTGCAGTCAAAATAAGTATGGAAAAAAATATTTTATATCAAAATACTCAGAAATACATGGCATTTTTGAGTAAAACAAAATTTACGGTTTAAAATTATGTCGGCGATATGGCGCCCTTGAGCCGAAATGCAGGAATCAAGCCTCTCCTGAAATGAGCCCACTGCGTCAGCCAGCATTCGTGCAGGAATTCGGGTTACTTCTCTTCTTATTTCCTCCTTCAAATCGACGAGGGTTGGAGGCTTGATTTGGTAAACTTTTGATTTCAGGTAGCCCAATAAAAAAAATCATACGTTAAAACAGGTCCGGGGAACGAGGGGGCCATGGATATCGCCGGAGAGACTTGATTCCTGCATTTCAGCATATGGCCGAGCGTAAATTTTGTTTTACTCAAAAAAATGGCATGTATTTCTGAGTATTTTGATATAACAAATTTTTTCCCATAGGTACTTATTTTGACTGTACTACTCATTTAAAAAACATGCGTTTTTTCTGACGGACCCTGTATCTATTTGCATCAAATTGAACATGCTTTCGATTTATATTATCTGTTAGATCAGACCGAAAATTACCTACAATTCAAAAAGCCTAATAAGAGCGCTGACGCTAACGCGGACAAGTAGAAATCCAGAAATACCCCAGCCTTTCTGAAGGAGAGATAAGACTATCAAGCAGGCCATGAAGGCGTCCTATAATTGTAAGAACGACTGACGATACGGGCAGGAAAAAATTAGAACGTTTTTTTTGGTATTTCTCTGGAAGTATCTTCGTTTTCAAAACTTTCTAAGCGGCATCTTATTACTTATTTAAATACGCAATTTTGCCCCCATTTAAGCCACTCCGTATCTCTTACCGTTTCAGAGATCCTAATGGTGAGGGTCGAATTTGAAGCACCCGGAATATATATTTATCTATATGTATTATTTTTATCAAGATTATTTGATCTTGATGTAATTGGTATGTTGTCCAAGTCCAAGGTATATAGTAAACAATGTATTTTATTGCCAGTAAAATCTGTAGTAGGTGTGACACATGTTTTGCTAAGAGCCGTATCGTCAGTCGTTCCTACAATTGTAGGACGCCTTTATGACCTCCTTGATTTTCATAGTTGTCTACTGTTCCTTGTCAACGCTCTATTTTGAGATTATGAAAAATACATATTTGCATCAAATTGTTCATGCTTTTGATTTATATCGGCCTGAAATTTCTTACAATTCAAAAAGAAAACATAGCTTCACAGTAGGAGAGCGCTAACGCTGACACGGAACAGTAGAAATCTAAAAATACCCCAGCCTCTATGACGAAGAGAAAATTCTAGGGAAATCAAGAGGCCATAAAGGCGTCCTATAATTGTAGGAACGACTGACGATACGGCCCTAAATGTTCTAGCAGAGTTATTTATAAAACTACCATCATAATTTGTGCGATTTGGTTTTTCGCTATTTCACAGTGTTTTAGGGTAGAGATCGCAGGGGTATACCGTAGTATTGGAGGTTAGAAAACATTGATTTTTGAACTGGATATTCTTTTTTGCTACTTAAATAAATCATACATATCATCTATATTAAACGTAATAGGAGAAGAGAATGGAAGAATTATATTATTATTATATGTTATTTGTATTAAGAAAGAATAGATGAAGAATTCGAGGATTCTGAGGAACAAAATGGGCTTAGAGCAGGCAGGTCGTGCATATTTGTAGATCTGTACAAGGCTTACGACACGGTGCTACTAAGCAACTTTTTCAGCATTTCAAAAGAAAAGCCACAGTTATTACAAAGCGCATCAGACAAGGATGCTCTCTGGCGCCTGTACTTTTCAAAATCTTTTTAGAGGAGGCGCTTAAACAATGGAAGCGAAAATGCCACAATATGAGGCTTAAAATACTCGTAGGGGTAGCGAAACATTGTACAAGCTACTGTTGCTACAGATGACTAGAGGATAAGGATGCTGCATTGTACATGCTGAGCAAATTAAAGGAGTTTTTTTAAATGGGGGGATGGAGATAAAAAATGCTGAAATCAGAATACTTAGTTGCAGGCGATACAGGAATTGATCTGAATTTGGATACTGGCACAGTGAAAAACTGCAAGAAATTCAGACACCTGGAAGTTACAATTTCGGACAACGGAAAGAGTGACGAAGATATTCGGAATAAAATATTACGGGGAAAGCGAGTTATTGAACAATTGAGTCCAGTATTATGAAACGACAAAATCACGAAGACAAAAAGTGATTTTTAGAAGACTATCCTGGAAAATATTTGTATATACAGGACCGAAACATGGGAAGTGAGCCAGCACAATAGGAGTAGACTGAACGCTTTGGAGGTGGACTACAGGAGGCGGAATTATCAGGACTCAATATAAGAGCAATTATGAAATGAGGAAGTAGAGGGGACTATCCTTGACACCGTAGAGACCAAACAACTGATCTGGTATGGTCATATACAGCGGACATGCTAGACTACAGATGGCCCAAAAAATATGGTAATGGATACCTTGTGAACGGCGTAAGCCATCTAGACCAAAAGACTGGCGTCAATACATTAAAATAGCGATGGAACCTAGAGGACTCAAAGAAGGCGATTGGGTTGATAGATCCCTGTGGCGGTAAGGAAGCGAGGAAATATATGTGTGTGTGTGTGTGTGTGTGTGTGTGTGTATGGGTGTGTATCGACTTAGTAAGTAATGATACTCCTCCTAAGTGTGTAATGTTGCTATTTTCCAAATTTTTGTCTTTAGCTCCTGATGGTGATGGCATAGACCATCGAAAGCTTGAGTTTAAGTTAAGAGTGTATTTTTGCAAAACTTTGCCTTCATCTCAAAGAAATTCAAGGATATATATATATATATATATATATATATATATATCCTGACGCTATGATTATAAGTAAATCATATAATCTCCTTATCAAAAGAAAATTTTCAGTTCTAGATTGGATTTTTATCTAACCTCAAATGCTACATAGTTTTCATTCGATTCCATATATTGGTATATTTGTACATTAGAATACTTTAAAAAACCGCTACAAAATTGTGCGTAATCCAAAGTTCTGCGATGATAATGTTTTTTATAAAATCAAAATAGTAATTTAATGTTTGTGTATATGATTGATTTCGATGTTTTTAGCATTATAAAAGTACAATTTACCTCATACGACAGTTATTTACGTTGTAACCTTTACATTCCATTAGGTTTATGAAAACTAAATCGAGTGTTCCCTATTGTGTGGGCGATTGTTGGGTTCATTTTAAAAAGAGAACTGCATATGAACGTATGTCGTTGAGATACAGGATGGTAAAGTTATTAAACATAAATCATATATCATTAATATCTGTAAGTACCATTTTAGATGTATTAATGAAATTTTTATACATATACTACATATCAAGAAGCAATTTTTAATGTTCTAAATTTGTTCAATTTCCACCAGTGGCGTTTGCACGGAATTTTACCCACCTATTTTGGCAGATATTTATGGAGCGCCACCGAATTCTTTTAAAATAAAAACTGTTTTTGAAATCCCCAATCATTACAATCTCGTTAATGTGACGATATCATCATGCAGAGAAATAGCTTTAATTTTTCTAGGTGAAAACGGTGGTGCTGGTGATACAGATTAAATGTTTTTATTTTAAGTGTGGGGCTGACTATATTGAAAACTGTATCTCAAAATTCAAGACGTTTATTACATATGTTTATATGATGTTTTCTTCTTAAAATGGTTCCAAAAATCAACCCCTTAAATATTGACGTTCAATTATCAAACACTCTGTATAGTGAAAAGAAGGTTGGAGCGATGAATAAATCAAAACAGTGGAATGGTGATCTGCTCTCGTATTTTTTTGACATGTACGATTAAAAAAAAAACAAGTGTAATGTTTCTAGACCAGAAAGTACATCCTAAAACAGAATACTTCATTACCAAGAAAGTTAGTTTTATATAATTCTACGCCACTGTCGAGACTCATATCCTTCAAATAATGCTGTGGTGAGATAGGATCACTCCCCTAATATACTACAATACATTGTTCAATGTAAGTCTTCACTAATTTTTGCTTTTTTTCAAAGTAGAAACAAACATTCAAATCAATTATTTTGCAAAAATTCATTTCTCAACATGACGAGTCGTGTAAAATAAATATCCAAAAATGCAAAAGAGATTCCAATAAGTCAGTGTTGTATAAATTATTTTTCGCTGACCATGTGTCTGGGTTCTACGTCACTGGTGCTAAAATGTTTATATGTAGCGATTATGGTGTTAACACTACACGCACGACATTTTGAGGCGACACTTTATCCACTCCGGTGATGTAAAATTTTTTGTCGGATTCGGAATTATATCTTCAACAACCTCTCTATCCCATAAGAGCTTTTCATATTATCCTCTTTTTACCTGTTTTTGTGAAGATACTTACTGCTCCAACTTCAAATTAATGAGGTGCATATTGAAAATTAAATTTATGATCAGTGTCTGAAATACGTAGGCATTTGATATATATTTTACATCTCCTCCATCCTTTTTATCATTGTATCTATTGTACGCGATCTCCTTAGTGTAAGATACTTTTTTATTGTATTTATTTGCGCAATAAAAGATATTTGTATGACTGATAGAGCACTTTTATTATCTGAATCACATATCATTAGACCTGCGGATCCATGTTCGGGATGTACAGTACCATTCAATTAAATTGTACAGTTCATCTTCACTTAATCCTGTTATACAATTCTGTCGTTTTACGAAGGTATATATATATATATACAGGGTGTCCGCAAAGTTGGGGTTTTCCTTTTCAGAAACAACTACCCTCGAAATAACAAAGGTAATGTGTAGTGAAACGAGGGCGACCAAGTAAAAAAAATAAAGGAAAAGTACTCACTCTCCAGTTGACGAGAAGGACTAAGTACGTCTCTGCCTGAAATCGAAAGTTATTCACCCCATTACGCGTGAACGTAGATTCGTCTGTCACCAATATGCACTTCAAAAAGTCCGGATTATTGTCATGTTGATGCAACAACCACTCACAAAACCGCACTCTTGCTGGAAAATCGTCAGGTTGAAGGGCTTGTACACGTTGGACGTTTGCCACACTTTAGTTTTTGATACTTGCACGTCTCTAGCCACGTCTAGTGCTTGTTGAGGGATTCTCGTCTACGCGATTCAGTAGTTCTTCCTCAACTTGCACCATTCATGGTTGTCTAGGCCTCCCACTGTGCCCACCTCGAAATTCCTCCAAATGGCCCGTATCCCTGACTCTCTGGACCAGGTACACAAATCTGCGGGGCCTTGGATGATGTCGTCTAGGGAAACGATCTGCATACACTCGCGACGATTCTGTATCATTTTGAAGACATTCGCCATAAATTAACAACATATCAACGAGTTCATTATTGGTGTATGAGTGTGCCATTATTATTTTTTTTTGAAACGCAATCGATTATACGGGTTCGTTACCTCTATACGCGTGACCCTTTACCGTCGGTTGAAGGTTGCATACTGACCTGACACACTGACCCCGACCCCCGACCCAGTTCTGTCGTCGGGTTCGGCTAGTAGCCGGTACCAGTTTGAGATATCGCGGGTCGCGGCTACAGGACGGTATTCAGATGTTTTTGATGTTGCAGAGCCCTTTATCTCGGTTCCCTTAAGACATTGGTGTATATGGTACTAAGAAAAATTGCTTATGTTTTCAAGATCTACACGTCGTGTAAAGAAAAACCCCAACTTTGCGGACACCCTGTATATGGGGTGGTCCACCCATGTGTGAACGGAATATTACTAATAAACATACATTTTGGAGAAATCCATTCATGGCATGTTATACATGACATTTGAGGGCACATTTCTAAAATATTGGCAATTGTACAGGGTGTTCCAATTTCGACCTACATATCAAAGCTATGATTTTTTAAATGGGATGCTTCAAGTTTTATTGCATATTTGGATAAACCAATTCAAAAGAAGAAGATTGATATAACATACTATGGGGTTTTGGTAATTAGCTACTGAGATGTAAGGTGTTTTGTTCAGAAAAACGGTCCATTTCGACAACCCCTCAATCCTCCATTTTGAAATTTGGAGTGCTGAATTTTATATAAAAAAAACCTACACACGTCAGCTTTCATCTTATTTATTACTTTTTCGAATTTTCCTTTTTGCTCATATAGGGTGGTCAAAAAAGCGAATTGTACTTTTTCTCAAATGTCAAATGCATCACCCTGTATATTTGTAAAAGTTTGAATTCAATTTTTTATAAGCTTTTTGGTATAAGGTTTGATTCAGATAAAGTCACTAGATTTTGAGTTATTAAGCATTTAATAGAAAGCTAAAAATTATTTTTGCATTGGAAAATATGCGACTTTATTAACTTTCACTACTATCAGTAAAATATCTGAAGCGGTTCTGAAAATATTAATTAATTTCCATTTTTTTCCTAAAACTTCAACACCCCGAGTTTTTGTAAGGAAACATTTTTGACATTAGTTTATGAAGCAAACTAACATTAATTTTTCATGTAGATTCACACCCTTAAATATTCGCATATCATTAAGGAACACCCTGTATATATATATATATATTTACATCACCACGTGGATAGGTCATCCTTTCATAAACCAGCAATAAGTCACCTACCAGAAATACTGAATATATATCAAATTTAATTCGTGAATATCCGACACCAAGACACATTGATCCAAGATCAGTTAAAAAAACTGTACATTAACATTTCGGATTTCCATACAAAGTCCGCTATATAGGTATCCCTTTCAAAAACCGTATGATGTGTCCTCTACCGGAATACCCTCCAGATAACAAAGCGGCATTAGGTCCTCCAAAATACTCAGATTAACTAAATACCAGTGGATAAGTCCTCCGTGCAGTGGTGCCAAGTTTCAGTTATTTCTCTTTAGATAATAATACAATTGAAGTCTCCTAGCTCGGGCTTGTATTATTCTATTACCTTCCAAGGATCTCCATTCAGCAACATTAAGTACACTAATTACTCGATCTAGACTATACAAAACATCGCTAGCATGCGAAAGAAGGATGCCCAACTTGTTTCGTAAATTTGTAACTCGTGCAAAAAATGCTTTGACTATGCCCTGAAATTATCGGAACATCGAGCAGCCCACAAGATCAAGGATACCTTCTTCTATCACATGTCCGAGAGATTGTATGTTCTACGGAGCACTTTGCTAT